GTAGAAACTCAGCTACGAACCGTACTCCATGGGGATGCCCGTTAGTTATAACTCAGTTACGAACCGTAGTCCATAGGGATGCCCGTTAGTTATAACTCAGCTACGAACCGTACTCCATGGGGATGCCCGTTAGTTATAACTCAGTTACGAACCGTACTCCATGGGGATGCCTGTTAGTTATAACTCAGTTACGAACCGTACTCCATGGGGATGCCCGTTAGTTATAACTCAGTTACGAACCGTACTCCTTAGGGATGCCCGTTAGTTATAACTCAGTTACGAACCGTAGTCCATAGGGATGCCCGTTAGTTATAACTCAGCTACGAACCGTACTCCATGGGGTATATCCTCAAATCAGATACACGTGAGTAAACCTGACTGCCGCTTGCAAAATTTGTCTTTATTTAAAGGTCGTTCGTAGTCCTTCACTGAAAACATCAAATGTTACTTATAAACTAATCTGTCATTACTGTCAGCGTGATTATACTGGTTCTACTACAAAAAAAAAACGTTAACTCTTGTGAAGAACATGGAAATTTAAGATCTTCGAACAGATCGAGAACTGGAACAAGGCCTTGATGAGTGTGACATAATCGTTCACCCAAATTGTTTTAAGATCTTAACCAGAACCAACGATGAACAGTCTACATATAAAACATAGCTTGCTCACACATAAACTGGAGCAAACGATCAACCACGTAGGTTCTACTAATAAGTTACGCTAGGATTTAAACCGTAATTGTATTTCGTGTAGACAAATAAATTAGTTGGAAAACGTCTTGTAGTAAATTATCGCACTTAGTAGTCCATTGCTGACGTAGAAATAATCACGAACGTTTCTATTTTTAAGTATAAAAAAACTTTGATCGAATAAGAACGTCACATCTCTGAAGGTCATTCTGCAAAACGAAGAAATCGAACGATACAGTAGCCAATAAATTATGCATTCTTCCACTACGTTTCTTTCATGGCCTTCTTATTGGGTAGAATGAAAACGACAGTATTTACGAGTACCTTCGGACTCGAAGCGTGTTCGATATTAACGTAAAAAAAAAACTAAAACACGCCTAAATGTGAGATCGTCGGTAGTAAATGTGCACGTTTTATTCTACTATTGTTAAAAAGATTTAGTTTAAAAGACTTCTAAGCTGATTAGTTTTCTTCGTCAGCTTTTCTCTTTATCAGGGGGTTGTCGTCCTTCGCACGTGTTGTCCTCCTCCAACCATTTCTGTTCATTTCCAGGTCTTCAGCAATTCCATTCTCATTCACATCTTCATTAACTCCATCCTTCCAACGCTCTACTTGCCTTACACTGTCTACTCTTGATGGCTTCTGGTAGCTCTAATGCTCTCCTTATTACTTGTTTCTTTAAGCTGATTAGTGTTAGGATATTTTTTGTGAGTTCTAAAGTAAATCACTCGGATATAGATTTATATTGAGTTAATCAATTGTAAATCACGAATATTTTCGCTGTCATTGATATGTTTGTCAGATTAGGCTTAAGTAATTTAAATTATGCCTAATTCGGTATCGCGGGTAATAATGCGATATTCTTGTTCTATAAATATTATGGAGCCGCAAAATAGCGATTCTTTCACGAAGAATGTACATATACTAAGTGACCATTGGAAGCCCCCAGTGGCTCAGCGTTAAGTCTCGAAGGCTTATAACACTAAAAACCGAGATTCGATACTCCTGGTGGGCAGAGAAAAGATAGCCTGTGTGTAGCTGCTGTGCTCATAATTACAAACAAATAAAACTATTGGAAACTGTGACCTTTAGCCATAAGGTGTGAAATATAGAACTTGCAGTCACTTAGACGTAAATGAATAAAAATTGTCTGACAAACAATAAAAACACTTTAAGATATTATTCAACAATTTCACACTATAACAAGTACTGTATTGTAGAAACAGGAAAATACAAGTTAAATTGTCTGCTGTATAATAGAAAATCCTAAGTCATACAAGTAATAAAAATGTTTCAGATAATAACGTGTACGTACATTAGACAGATACACAAGCTACTAACAGAATGATGTTTAGAATTTGCCAATGCACAGAACAGGGATAAATAAAAAGAAATGTGTTGTCAGCAAAATGTTGGAGGAGCACGTGCCCTTCCACCCCACCCCCATTTCCGACGCCTATGCTACACACACACACTGTTATGGTCCCAGCTCTTCTCACACATACCTCAAGTCAGAGTATGCAATCTTCTGCTTGGGTTTAGCAAGATGCCAAAGGATGTCTGTCTGTTTTAGCAAAAAAAGCCACATTAGGCTATTTGTTTTGCCCACCGACGGAAATCGAACCCCGTCTTGTAGCGTTGTAAATCCTTAAAGTTACCGCTAACCCACCGGAGGATACAAGAGGGCAGTCTACACCTGGTTCACAGGTGTCAGTAAAATATCACGGACAATACGAACTGGGCCACTCCTGGACATTCGCTTTCTTCTTTTGAAACCATTTATGTGTGGCTTTAGCCTTGTGTTTCGGGTCATTGTCCTGCTGAAATGTGAATTTTTGACCCAGTTTTAGATTCTTGGTTGACTCAAGCAAGTTTTCTTCTAAGATTCGCCTGTATTTTGCACCATCCATCTTCCCTTCAATCCTGACAAGCTTCCCAGGTCCTCCTAATGAGAAGTATCCCCATATCATTAGACTGCCACCACCACCATACTTAACAGTTGGGATGGTGTTAACTGGATGATGTGCTGTGTTGGGCTTCCGCCAGATGCAATGCTTTGAATACAGACCAAAAAGTTCAGTTTTTGTCTCGTCTGACCACAAAACCTTCTGCCACACGTCTGCAGTATCATTTACATGCTTTATCGCAAACTCAGTACGACATACAGCCACTCGCCCATACAGGCCAGCTTTGATAGAGACAGGGATATTGTCGATGCATGAATATTGACTCCCATCTCAGACATGGAACTTTGAAAATATTTCAAAGTCACTGTTGGATTTACAGTGGCATCCATGACCACTTTCCTGGCTGCTTACTTGCATAGGGTGGCCTGATCTGGGTAGTTACTGGGTTGTATGAAGCGCATTCCATTTCTTAATGATGGACTTCACCGTACTCAAAGGGATAATCAGGGACTTTGAAATTGTCTTGTAACCTTCTCCTGATCTATGCTTCTATACCACTTTATCCCCGACTTGTTTAGAAAGCTTTTTTATCTTCGTGGTTGGTTTGTCATATCACTATGCGAGTTGTGGCTTGAACGGATGCATTTACTCTGAACTCAAGTTAAACCACTTTGATTACACACAGACAGAGACCAGTACACTAATCTTGGGACCTTTCAAACTAAGTTTTTGTACCTGAACTGATTTAGGGTTACCGTAGCAATAGGGTTGAATACTTATGCAACTAAGAATATTATAATTTTCTTTGAAAATCTAACTTACTTAAATAATATCATCATTTTTAGCTTTCTCAGTTTGGAGTAGATTGTGTAAATTCTAAGTATAAAGTACCATTCGAAAGTTTCATGATTGCAAACTCAGACAGCAACAAAATGTGGAAACTTTGCAGGGGGGGGGTGAATACTTTTACAAGGTACTGTGAATCGTCAATTGCTTGAACAAAGGTTTCGGTTTGAACTAGACTAAATTGGTGAACTGTAATATTTAATCAATTTTATTCAAGTTATTACACGTTAAAATTAAGCTTATGATTTGTATTAACACCATATTTTTATTATTAATATTATTTATTTTATTCGGATTAACTAGTCGTTTAAAAGAACTGGCGAATCAGAAAGCTTGTCTGTTTCATGTTTGACGTCCAATATGGCGGCGACGAGTGAAACATAAAGTTGTTTCTTCACGTGCAAGACCTCTATACAGTAATATGAAAAAGAGGTAGATAATAATATATTAAACTACAACCATATTACGTGTTTAACGTTTTTAGTAAGATTATATTTGAGTAGTTTAATTTTCAACTTTTTACTTTGAAAAAAAAAGATATTTAATTGGTTTCATTGTCTTCGTAATATTTTCTTTAGTACCAAGCGTATAATACCAACTATACCCAATGTGCCAAGAGTATAGTAATTTTGACTCACCCTGTTTAATACGCCTCATTAGAGATAAGGCAATCAATTTATTCAGTCTGCTTAGGTTTTTATTATAATATTATCCGTAAAGGCGCCGTTTTATTATTATTATTAAAAACCGAAAACCGCGATTTGAAGTTACAAGCTGATCCACGCTAGATGTCTGGTGGTTAGAACACTAAACTCGCGATCGGGAAGTTTCGCGGGATCAAAACCTGGCGCCGAATATGCTTGCCTTTTCAAGATATTATAGTGTGCCGGTCAACAATCCCGATAAACAAAATCGACACAAAAATGTGTTCGATTTTGTTCTTTTTTTTTCTATTGTGCAATTATGTTATTTTATTTTTTTGCATTCGGTTACATAGAAAAGACTAAACAATTAAAGATTTTATTACTTATATTTTCAGATAAAGAGAGACTTTTTTTTTACCCAGTTTTCAATTTACTATTATTCACTTAAACCTATTCCAAATTTTATTCTATACATTTATTCAATTCAGTAAATTGTAGTAGGAATCTTGTGGATAACGTCACTCCATTTTTGACGGTTTTCTTTTGTTTGTTTGTTTTTAACACAGTCATTTGGAATATGATATTTTTTCCATAATGTGTAAACACAAAACAAGCAATTAGGAGTATAACTTATAGTACGTTGACAATAAACAAGGAGTAACTATTAAGTCTATACCTAGGTGAAAATTATTTCTGTGTTTATATTTGGTTATCCATACTATACATAATTTTTTATTATTATTATTATCAAAAACAGACATTACAAACTGATGACAAAGTTCAGAGTTAGCAAAAGTTTGATAATACAGTCCAATAAACAACGAGGCAGTCAATGATACAAACAATAAAAAAATTCATTCAAAAATATTCAGCTTAGATTATGTAATGAATTCAATGAACTTATTTTAAGACATCGAAATATAAATCGTGACATTTATTTCTCCAAAACTTACATTTGAGAAAAATAAAATAAAATTAAAAGTCAGATAACAAACACCTAATCAAAAATATGAATTTCTGGTAGAAAAGTTAGTTTTCAAGAGTTTAAACTTAACAATATCTTTCTATTTCCTGCATGATCATGACATTCTAGAAGGATCGTGTATTTCTTTACGTTGATCATAAGCACTGTTACTAAGACTCGGGTGTCTATGGCAGGAAAAGTGTTACATTGCCTATGGTTACGACATTACCCGAACAATGAAATGGCTATAATGCCCTTCCTTATGACAGTAATATAAATGTCGTCCTGGTAGATTTTATTTCTCGACTGCATGCTCTTTCAAGCCTTGCTTGATTATCTCATTCATGACATTAAAGGCCTTCTCCCAGGCTTCGCCAACAGGGGGCGTGAAGGAGCTTCCAAGGCCATCTCTTAAAAACTTCAGAATAATAATGGTTAGATGCTGAAACAAAGTGAAAAGGAATAGTTAATATTTGTAACGTTAGTGACCCAACACTCAGTTTGTTTCTATGGAAATATTGACTAATAACTGTGAGTTTAATACTGATACCTTATAAATAAGAATAACTGAATAGGCTGCTTTCTCACCATAACTTCCCTATTTTGTTCTAATTTTATTATATTCTTATTTCCAATGAAGACAAGTTCAATTTCAAGTAATATAACTCATTAATAATTACAGGCCTCCCAACAGCGTCAGCCTTTAAATAAAATGTAAATTTTATAAGTGTCAAATTATTTGTTTGTAATTAAGCAGTCTGGGCTTAAAAAAATCGGTTTTTGGTACCTATGTTAGGCAGAGCACAGTTAGACTATTATATTAAGTTTGTGCTTAACAAAAACAACAACAGACTACCTTGGTAGAATCTTACGTGCAAGTATATATTCCCAGGTTGCTTTGCGTACTTGCTTATCTTATTATAATGGAACATGCTATGTATACGTCCAAAACTCGGATTTCGGAAACTACCACACCGATCATCACCAATCATAACTCGGTAATAATTTTATAACTAGTCAGTATTTTTATAGCTGAGCAATAAATTAAAATAAAAAAAAAATTCCACAAAAATGATGTGTTTCAGATTTAACCAATAAAAATTACAAACAAAAAGGAGTAAGTTTAAAATATAAAACAATCAAAAACAAACTTAAAAAAATTATTTGTTTTTCTTGAGTGAAAATCTCATGAGTGTTGCAACAGAAAAGCAAGTCACTTTCATTGAGAACTGCGTCTACAAAGAAATACTTCAATAAAATCTACTCTGTGATGATAGCTCATTTTTAAACTAAAATTTAAATATAATCATTTTTTCTCATGGGTGGTGAACATTATTGAATGTCAAGTATGAGTACATTGTTGTAGAACTGTCAGACAATTCTAGAAAAGCCCTCAGGCCTAATAGCCTTCCGCGGGAACTAGCAGTTATTCCTACCCGGAGGGGTATTTCTGCTAGTTTATATAATATAAATTGTGTTGTATCGTTATTAATGGGTTGTGTTGCTTGTCTCGTCTGTTTGACGTGAAGAGTAATAACCTTTCAGCGGAGACAGTTATTTGGACCACTTCATAGCCAAGACACAGTTTTCTTTTATTTGGTTTTAACACGTTAAGTTATGGGCGACCATGGTCGGCCTGAAGGCAGAAACAAAGAGAGATTTAGTATTCAAAAGTACTAGGTGTTTGTCATCCTTTACATAAGTTCTTCTAGAATTCTTCAAATTATTCACACCTATGCATTTTCAGAGTATATGGATTAAACAACAGATTTTGAAACCAATATAAATCATTGACACATTTATTTGTTGTTGTTTTCTTAGTGCAAAGCTACACAATGGACTCTCTGCACTTTGTCCACCGCGAGGAATCGAACCCCAGATTTTAGCGATGTAAGTCCATAAACATACCTCTGACCCACCGGTGGGGGGACATCTAATAAAGAAAAATGCTGAGATAATGTCTATAAGACATTAGTGAAACTCGGTTTTAAAATGGATATTTG